ATCCAATCATCTAGACAGATAAGCATGCTGAATGGGTAGTATGGGAAGGAGAGTGGGAGTATACTCACAAATACGTAAGGGTTAGAAAGAGGTTATTTATACGTGGGTATTTATTTTTACTGCAAACATACCTGTGAATGTGGTGGAGCACACAGTGGACAAAATGATGAACGTCTTAGGTATTATCAAACGTCTTCATGCAATGGGGTTGTTGGGTTTGGGGGCTCCGGAAACCACGTCTCAGGGGACACCATGGTCAATTGACATATAACATATTCCACAAAGAGAATGCTCTACATCTTACTTTGGTGAGCAGCAACTGGGATCGTAAAAGCTCATGAGCAGATAATCAAGTGCAACTATAGGTCTCTCCATGTACAGAAGAAGTGTAATGAAAATTGAAGATGCTTGGAATCAACTTGTCCAATGGACCAGAAGAACTAGATGTACTTGACTACCACTACCAACTGTTCTTAAAGGAATCCCGTGATAAGAGCGGGAGAAAATGTGTAACAAAATTCAAAATTATAGCAAAGACCTGGATTACTGGTCAGAGAAAGACTGGAGGAACTTGAGACTTGGTTTAGAAAAACCTCATCTGGTCTGGAACAGAATGTACTCTCATGGCCCAACTTTTAGGCAAGCAATAGTTAGGTAAATAAGGGTGACAACAACACTAGTAAGGTATGTTCACCATGGAATGGTCAATCACTCAAGATCAAAAGGCAACATTTACCTAAGGATAAATGTTAGAAGGAATGGGAAGAAGGGTAAAATGGGAACAGAAACCATACAGACTAAGTGGGATAACTGTTGTTGCATGGAGGGGAGTGCATTATTGAGATGAAAAAAAACATATGAGTTTTTGAATGTAAAACTGATGATCTTGTCTGTAAACCTCTACTCACTTCACAATAAGTAGTTTTAAAAAATCCAATCATCTGAAGACTACATTTGGGCAAATAATTTCTTCTACTTAAAAAGCGTCAAGTTAATTTTAATTTTTTTAATACAACAGAAATGGGATTTTTTTTTCAAGTAGTTGGTATCTTACCTTTAAAAACATACAAACAAACAAACCCCTAATATATTTTAAGCTTTTCCCTGTCACTAAATATTTTTCAATAATATCCTTTAGTACCTACATATTATTCCAACATATTACTATAACATAGGAGTCCTGGTGTGGTGCAATAGAGTCCTGCTATGGCCCAACAGGATAAGCACTCAACTGCAATGTTGTTTTGAACTGCAAGGTTCAAATCCACCAGTCACTCCTCAGAAACCCTATACAGGGTCAACAATATGATTCGGAACAATATGATTCGGAACAGCACTTAACAACAACTGTAACACAATTTATTCATTTTCTCACTGTTGGGCATTTAGATTGTTTCTAACGTTTCCATTTTAAAAAGTAATGCTTAAGTAGACAATCTTGAAGCAATATAGTCCAGTCGTTAAGAGCATGGACTTGAGATTCAGATTACTTCAGACTCTTAACTTCTGACATTTAATAGTGGTGACTTTGAGCAAGTTACTCTAACTCTCTATAACACAGTTTCCTCTTTCATAAAATGAGGGTTAATAATGGTATATACTACATAGGAATGTTGTTGTTATTAGGTTCCATCAAGTCACTTATGACTCATAGCGACCCTATGCACAACAGAACATCTGCTCCTGCGTCATCCTTACAATGGCTATGTTTCAGCCTATTGTTGCCACTGTATCAATCTATTGTGCTGGGGTCTTCTTCTTTTGTGCTGACTCTCTACTTTACCAGGCATGGTGTCCATCTCCAGGGTCTGGTACTTCCTGATAATATGTCCAAAGTATGAGACAAAGTCTCAACATCGTTAATTCTAAAGAGCAAACCAGCTTTACTTCTTCCAAAACATTTGTTCATTCTTTTTGCAATTCATAGTACTTTCAATATTCTTCACCAACGCAACAATTTAGATGTATACATTTGACTATGGCCTTTCTTTCCTTAGTCAATGTCCAACTTTCACATGCGTAAGAGATGATTAAAAATACCACAGCTTGAGTCAGTTCTATCTTAGTCTTCAAACTGCCATCTTTGCAAAAGAGGTCTTGATTTTCAGATTTGCCTAATGCAATACATATCCTTTGATTTCCTGACTGCTGTCTCCATGTTGATTGTGGGTACAAGTAAAATGAAGTCTTTGACAACTTCAATCTTTTCACCATTCATCACGATGTTATTTACTGGTCCACTCATGAGGATTTTCATTTTCTTTACATTGAGGTGCAATCCATACTGAAGGCTGTAGTCTTTGATCTTCTTCAGTAAGTACGTTAACTTTTAAGAACACTGAAGGTTAATGTGCTAGACCACAAGGTCAGTTTGAACCGCAAGGTCAACACTTCAAACACACCAGCCGCTCCCTGGAAATCCTATACAGGGTCACTATGGGTCAGAACTGACTCAACGGCACTTTAACAACAAAAACAACTTTCAGCAAGCAAGGTTGTGTCATCTGCATATTGCAGGTTATTAATGAGTCTTCCTCCAATCCTGATGCCGTATTCTTCGTATAATTTAGCTTCTTGGATTATTTGCTCCACACAGAGATTGAGTAAATATGGTGAAAGGATATAACCCTGGTACACACCTTTCCTGATTTTAAACCATTCTGTATTCCCTTCTTCTGTTCGAATGACTGCATTTTAGTCTATTTACACATTCCTCATGAGCACAACTAAGTGCTCTGGAATTTCCATTCTTCTCAATGTTATACATAGTTTGTTATGATCCACACAATTGAAAACTTCTGCCAAGTTAATAAATAAAGCACATGTAAACATCTTTCTGATGGATTTTCTGCTTTTAGCCATGATCCAACTGACATCAGCAATAATATCCCTCATTCCATGTCCTCTTCTGAATCTGGCCTGAGTTTTTGGCAGTTCCCCATTGGTGCACTGCTGCAATGGCTTTTAAATTATCTTCAGTAAAATTTTATTTGAATGTGATATTAATGAAATTGTTTGATAATTTCTGCATTCTATTGGGTCACCATTCTTTAGAATGGGCACATATATGGATCTCTTCCAATCAGCAGCCTTCCAAATTTCTTGGCATAGATAAGTGAGCAACTCCAGTGCTGTGTCCGTTTGCATTTCACCAATTCCTGGAGACTTGTTTTTTGCCAATGCCTTCAGTGTAGCTTGGACTTCTTTCAATGCCATCAGTTCTTGATCATATGCTGCCTCTTCAAATGGTTAACCATTATTTTTGGTACAGTGACTCTGTGTATTTCTTACATCTTGATGCTTTCCGTGTCATATTTTGCCCATGTTGTTGTTGTTAGGTGCCATCGATTCAGTTTCAACTCACAGCAACCTTATACACAACAGAACGAAACACTGCTTGGTGTTGTGCCATCCTTACAATCATTTCTAAGCTTAAGCATGTTGCTGCTGCCACTGTGCCAATCCATCTCGTTGGCAGTTTTCCTCTGTTTTGCTGACCTGCCACTTTACCTGGCATAATGCCCTTATCCAGGGACCGGTCCCTCTTGATCATATGTCCAAAGTATGAGAGTCCTGTGTCATTCAATATTTTGTTCATGGAATCCTTCAATATTGCAAGTTGAGGCTTAAATTTTTTTCTTCAGTTTTTTCAGCCTGGTCAACACTGAGCATGTTCTCCCCTATTGATTTTCTGACTCCAGGTATTAACAGAACTTCTTTATAATACTTTACTTTGTCTTCTTGAGTTGCCCTTTGAAATTTTTTGTTCAACTTTTCTTCTTCTATTTGCTTTAGCTTCTCTATGGCCAAGACCAAGTTTCAAAGTCTCTTCTGAAAACTAGTTTTCTGTTTTTGTGTGTGAAACATTTTATTATGAATTGAGTGAAGGCTTACAGAATAGATTATCAGTTTTATATTTAACAAACCACACACTTTGTTTCATCTCAAGGATTACAATACCCTCTATGTAACAACACTTATCCTGCTTCCTGCCTATAGTTTCTATTTCCAATACACTCTGCTTTCCAACCCTTTAACCGTGTCCCCAGGTAAATGTTGTCCTTGTGATCTTGAATGATCTTTCCATGTTGAATACACCTTAACTAGTTCCAGACCTGTACGGTTACTAAGGGCCATGGGTCCCGGGTTCCTTCAGGCTTGTTCTGACCAGTAAGCTCAGTCATTTTTTATAATTTTGAGTTCTGTTCCACATTGTCTTCCACTATATTGGGACCTTCTAATGTCATCCCTTTCAGAGCAGCTGGTAGTGGTAATGTTTTAGTTTAATGTTTTACAGTTAATAACGTGTCTATATATTGTTTTGGGTATGGCAGGATTGAAGATCCACTTTCTAAAAAGCAGGAAACCTACCAATGGCTCCTTGGAAACTTTAAAGAGGGTCACTATGAGTCAGAACTAACTAAATGGCACATATCAACAACAACAAATTATTTATAATGGCTTTAGACATTAGTCTACTATTCCTAGTTCACAAAAAACATTTTTATAATAGAAATAGTTATTGAATATTTATACTACAAGGAAGACTAAAGAAGAATTGAAGCATTTGAATTATGGTGTTGGCAAAGAATATTGAATAGACCCTAGATTGCTAGATGAACACACAAATCTGTCTTGGAAGAAGTATAGCCAGAATGTTCTTCAGATTCGAGGATGATGAGGCTGCTTCATCTCATATACTTTGGACATGTTACTAGGAGACACCAGTCCCTGGGGGAGGAGATCATGCTTAGCAAAGTAGAGGGTCAGCAAAAAGAGGAAAACCCTCAACAAATGAAGTCACATGTTAGAAGCAATAATGGGCTCAAACACAGGGAAGACACTGAGGATTGCACAGAACTGGGCAGTGTTTTGTTCTGTTGAACACAGTGTCGCTATAAATTGGAACCAACTAGACAGCATCTAACAACATTATTTACAAACTCAGGTTCACTCCTTTCATTTTTCACAAACTGCAAGCACAAAAAGTTCTAACTTACCTCTTGAATGGCTGTCATGACAACATGTTGAACAGATTCCTCCATCATCATAATGGCTTGGATGTACTCTGAAAACAAGAATAATCTGGAATGTTACTGTTCACGTTAGACAGTCAAGGGAATAAAGGCTAACACTTCACAATTTTTTATAATTTCTTGTGCTTTGATTCCTCCTAGGAATCCCTGATATAGTTAAATCTATGTGCCACAGATAAAGTATAGATTGAAAATCACTTCATTTATCTTTCCATATGAGAATTTTCCTCATCCCTCGTTATTTTTTATCAATTAAAGTAGAGGCTACAGTTAAAGGTCATGGGAACACAATGTCAGTATGTATATCAAATTTAATAAAAAAAGAAAAACTACAAGATGTCTTTCACATTATTTTTTGCTACATGTTAAAAAATCTGAACTGTGCTTTCTTAAGTGAAATTAAAACATTGAATTATGTGTTATTCCTACTGTAATATTTCTTACTGAGATAAAAAAAAAAAATCAACAGGTCTGCTGGATTCCAACAAATTTAGTGTTGTTGCTGTTGTTAAGTGCTATTAAGTCAGTTCCAACCCTGTAAACACATCACAATAACAAACATTTAAAATGTTACTAAGGCAATTCCTGACGTGACACTGCGCGTTAATGTGCTAGACTGCAAGGTTGGTGGTTCAAGCTCAGCAGCTGTTCCTTGGAAACCCTATACAGGGTTGCTATGAATCGGAACCAACTCAATGGCACTTAACAACAACAACAATTTCTGGTGTGGTGCTACAGACAGGATAAGCACTGGACTAAAAGGTCAGTTTGAACCTCAAGGTCAGAGGTTCAAACCCAACAAATGCTTCTCAAAAACGCTATAC